TTAGAATACTTTACACAGTTTAGAATACACACAATCGTGCTCGAGCATGGACCCGTTGTAAATAGTGTAAATGTAAATGCACATTTTTAGTATAAAAACGTCGTTATTACGCGCGGCGTGAGAGAGGAAATGTTTCGGTACGGTTCGGCTCAAAAGTTGCTCACGCACCGTTTCGCATCGTTCTTTCGACTAAGTGTAAATGTATTATAATTAGGTAGAGTTACGTCGCAACGTTCTACGAAGTGTTCAATTAATTTTATTCGTTGATCGCTGACGAACGTGCTTCGGACTTTTGAGCGGGGCCGTCCGCAAAGAGTCGAAGGGTGAAAATAAACGAGGTCGTAAGCAGCAATTCGGGAAGAGAAATTCGACGTTTGATATCAATGAACAAGGATAGAATTATTAGCGATTTATACGATTTTCGACGGTTCTTGGTAAACGACGTAGCCGCTCGTTCTAGCGTCCTCGAAATTTGTTTCAACGCTTTCAGCTTTATTTATTCTCATCCCTCGAACATTCTGACCGATTTGTATCTCCGATTCGTACATACATATATATTTTCTCTGTAGACGTATAATCCGACTCAACGTTTGAATGTAACGCGTCATAATGTAACCGTAGAACCAATTCCAGATCGAAAATTTGTAGCGAAATCCTCGTATTTTTTTCCTCCCACTACGTTTATTGTATTCTTAACGCGAAGACTGTTGGACATAAAGAATAGTATGATCCACTCTTCGGAACGAATTGAAATTTTTCAGGGGCAGGGAGAATTAATAGATTTTATCAGTTCCTCGGACATCGACCTGGGATTTTCACGCGAATCAGAACGCTCGCAGTGTCGAACGCACTGCTGACTGCTGATTTTCAGTACTTTTTAACGAATGGGGTAAAATTTCTCGAGATTCTGTCCAGTGGCTCATACCATGCTACAGCCGAGTCGTTTAATCGTGTTAATTACGCACCGACAGTATAGATATTTAAGTAGATGTTCACGCGACACTTATTTACCGGGAGAGGAGCAACTAAGCAGCAGTACGTTGTTACTTCGGGGCCACGTACGTGGTATCCGGTGTTAACCAACTACGAGACCGGGACATTACCCGCGTTAGAGATTCATTTTGTAACATAAAGTGAAATATAATCATTTGTAACAGGATCTACGTTCACTCGTCAGACAATTCATTCGAACTAGAAACACATTACCGCATCGCATATGATTCCAATCGAACGAACATCGACGATGTCATATGTGACGTGATCCCGAGCGCGATGCGATAACAGCATTTCCACCCCCTCGAACAACATCCTCGTCCCGTCCGATGAAATTGAACAAGCAGAGCGTAGAAGGAAACATTTTGCTCGGGTCGGAGGGACGAAATTTACCGGGATTTGTAAAAATAAAATAAAATCTCCAAGTCCGGTCGCGAAATACGTATTTCGAGTGCTCGCCTATCGAAATGCGGGGGTGGTGTTAAACCGTGTTTGGCACGGGGTTGTCTCGGGGAAAATCCGAGGGTTAGTAACCGCGCGCGAACGCGTGTTCAGCGCGTACACACGTCCACGCGCAAGTGTTTATCAATACGCGAAACGAGTTAACTGGAAAACTGCCCCGTGTCCCCCGTTTCGATTCCTCCGAGTGAATACGAACGTCGAGGATAATCCCCCGTGCTCGATGTTTCGTGCTAACATTGCCAGAAATTTATCCCGAATCGTTACCCACTTTGTGTACTCCTTTGTCAGTCTTTACCCCGGGAGTTTGTACGATCGTACGAATGAAAATCGAATTGGAAGTTTTTCACCTGAGGAATACGAACCGTGTGGAATGATAAGTACTTATTTTACCGCGAACACAGTGTTCAACGTGACGAATAAAGGAATAGAAGCGCGGCTACATGGTTCGAGAGCACCGGAGGATCGAGTAGTACGAGTCAATGGACGGTCAGCCGTCCCTTTTCTGAGCAACTTCAACCTATTTGGACTACTGAGGCGTCTCGGCCGATCTCTGTCCCTCGACTCGGAAAGAGCCGCGATCAGGGCCACGCCCTCGACAAAGAACCGACGTCGACGCCGACGCCGCTCACCCCACCGCCGAAACCGTCGCTTCCCTTTCCCGGCGCGACGTGCACGCGCCCGAAACTGTACTCCTCGCAGAAATACTTGGTCTAAACGTTCACACACCGTTTCATATAACAATTGACGCGGCAATTGACGACGTAGCGATTCACGCGATCAACCATTCATTCATGTGTCAATCGATGCTAAGTTTTCTACGATGGTCGTCGAAATATTTGTTGGAAAAATTGTTACAATGCTTCGTCTGACGATCGACAGAACGTTCACGCGACACGTGAGAAACGAGCGATCGTCGATCGATCCGATCGAAAGAAGCTTCTTCATTCTGTAAATCGAATCTGAGAACGTTTCATTAATCAGTCATTACGTTTTCCATCGAACCGCGATACGTCCTCGCGAGTGTGAATTTCGTGTCTCCGTTCCTCCGACTGGCTCCGAACTCCCCACCGACGGGTTTCGTCGGGGTCGGGGTACTTCCCCTTCTTCGAATCGCGAACAGCCTGATGGCCCCAGGATCCTCGCCAGAGCGACTCGACCGATCGTCGACGGTTGTTCGCGGCCGCCCCCAGTCACCCACCGAGCTCGCGGCCGTCGACGTCGCAGCCTCTGTTTCTCGTGCCGCCGTCGCCGCCGCCGCCGCCGCCGCCGTCGTCGTCGTCGTCGTCGGCGTCGTCGTCGTCGTCGTCGTCGCCGCCGCCGCCTTCGCCGTCGTGCTGGTCGGTGTTGTGCGCGTCCGCTCACGTTGCTGTCCAGTGAACGTACGCGTATCGCTTCCCGTGAATCGTTCTGTGTTTTTTGTTTTCGTGCTCGTGTCAAAGTTAAAACACGCCCACGAGCCGCGAGTATAAATACGTGCGTCTGACAATTTCGATCGCTCGGTCGAGCATCGGCCGATCTTCCCGTGGCCGTGGGGACGAATTTTGGAGCGAGGATCGAGCGAGATTTACGGTGGATCGATGAGACCGGCACAGGGCCAAGTTGGCGGAAGCTGACCGATAATACACAAAGTGAGAACTCGGGTCTGTTGTTCCGTTCCGGTTCCATTCCCGGTCCCAGTGTGTGTCCGCTCGATTGTTCGGATCTTTGTTTATCTCGATACCGATCGATAACCAGAGGTGTCAATCGTCGCACGACGCTTTTCACGCGCTCGTCAAACGTGCGGGATAAGCTGTATTTGCCGACGTTTCGAGTCTTCGTCTTTTTGGCCAGCTTTCTTCTTAAGGTGAGTCTTATTACCGTTTTACACGGACGGAATCGACAACAACAACGATTCATCATTTGCATCGTCATTTTCATTAAAGATCCGCGAACGAATTCTAATGAATGATCATTCGTTACTTTCGTCAATTCTATACGTGGCTTAAGTAGTAATTCTCATGTGTGCCATTGTATAATTTCAAACGCGTATTTGCTCATTTTGCGTTTGCATTTTCGAATCATTTTTGCAATTATATGATTTTCGTACGTGTGTCTCGGTTCTGAACACGAGGGAAAGTTTGACACGTACGCGGTTGCGTAGTTATTGTGCCGCGCATGGATCACCAGTATTTTGATCCGTGTAAATATATACGTGTATATATATATATATATATATATATATGTCACCCCGAAAGCGTCGGTTTTATGCGATACTAATTGTACTTAATATACGTGAAGTTACACCCTGAAATATCGATCGAAATAACCATTAGCTATTAGAAACACTGTGTCTTATTCGTTGTCGAGTCGTAATTCTAGCAGTTGTATCGAGTTGGCAATTAATTAAGTCTACTTTTATTTCACAGTATTTAACGCGTCTCTTTTTGCTGTTGAACAAGCAGATCTAGTCTTGAGTTTGAAAAGTGCTCGAGTAAATACGTAGCTTGTGGCTCGGGTTCAAAAATAAAAATCTTCAGTTTATTTCTGCGTTCATATCGTTTGCCAATACGTTCATTGCGATTCTCGACTGTCCATTAAGAAACCGGATGTGCCTACTAGGTGTACATTCGCCTCTGCAAATCGTAGACACGTGCATCTCATGGCGAATACTCTAATTACGACGTGTATTATTAGTGTAGATACCGAATCGCGTGTTATTAATATGAAGTTATTAACTTTCCTACGAGACACGTGTTTAATGTTGATTAAAATCTTGGCGAAGGTCTCAAGACCGAAACAATTAGACTTCGTATCCCGCAACGATCTTGTTTGAAAGTTTCCAACGCCGTAATATCTGGCCCGAATTTTTCAAGAGGCCGTGAAATCTAAGTTTGTCGGAGGCGACGTTCGTGAATAGTTTATCTTATGAAAGAATTCAGGCCGCGTCTCGGAAGCAGCGACTCAAGAATTGTTTAAATAGACGCCGAAAGTCGAATTCTATCGGTCTATGATATATTTTTATGCAAAGCATATTCGCTGTCAATCCTATCCTCTACGTTTCATCGGTTCCCGAAGGTGTATCGAACATCGATACGTGTTGCGAATCTAACAAACCGTCCAATTAGCGATGTAACATTCCACACGAAAAACTCGCCGATTCGTAATCCTAGCTTAGCCGTTACGTATCGCGTTAATCAAAAATTTCCACACTGCGTAATTCAGTAAGAAACGTTTCGTTCAATTCATAATAATAATAGTAATAATTAGAGTTCGAATACTTGAGTTTTAAATGTTTTGTCGCGCGTGTACACTTAATTAAATCGTAGTTAGCGGCAGGGGCATTTGAACGTTCTCTCTACTGATTTCAGCGACTCGTTTTGACGCCTCGTCGAAAGGTTCGGCTTGGAAATTGCTCGCGACGGAAAGAAAGTAATGTATGTAACAACACAGAGAGCAATTTAAATCGACGGGGCGAGGCGAGGCGAGGCCTGGATTTCATAAGAGTCAATCGATCTCGTTTCGAAAGCACTCGGAAAGCACCCGTCCGTTCTTCAGCGGAGGTCCTCGATAATTTATAGATATGTTTACCGGCTCGGGGAGGAAATTTACTCTCATAAATTTAACAGTTTATTCACTGCTACCACTCGCGAGACGAAAGCGAGGAAGACCGTTCGTTTTTATACGGGATAGTAACTAGTGCCTCTTTTGCATTTCGACAAATTCAAATTCGCTGTAAATATAATAAGAAATTGAAACATTTTGCATAAACGTCCGCTGCGTACATTTAGCAAAGGAACAGACAGACAGACAGACAGACAGACAGACAGACAGACAGACAGGTTCAGAGTCAAGGTCTCTTGCTCTTGTAGAATTTCGTTACTGTCGTTAGAAGCATTTCAAGAAGGCATCAGAGCCCTTATCGACGTTCCCTTAGCATCGATGGGAGATGGGAAAATGACCAAAGGTGGAATAACGAAAACGAGGGAAAGGAGGTATCAAAGGACGTCTTTATCTCGCAACGTTCCATTCCTTTACTCTCTCGAGACTTGTCATTCTGCGGCTGCAGCTTCGCGGCAACCTTTGAAAAAGTGTCTCTGTGTGCGCATCTAATTTCAAGCACAGCCTCATTGTCGTTTATACAATCGTGCAACTACGCAATTGCGCATCCTGCACATTAAGAACTGTTTGTATCCGATTGATTTTGTCAAACAATGATACCGCGTGCTCGGACTGAATCGACGACGACGTGTTATTTAATGATTTTATTAAAACGCACTGTGCGTAAATTCATTAGATCGTGCAATTAATCAAATGAATTTATTCCAGTTTATTTTAATGAATTAAAACATCTTCTCGTAGAACTTGATAAATAAAATCGATCGCTGATGATTTCAAATGATTTTTACTGAGCGAACGTATGTAATAACGTCTCGCGCGTTTCCCTTAAATGGAATCGGGTTCGGTCGGGTTCGGGTTATAATTGAACATCCTGCGTTTCGCCTTTGCCATCGGATTGCCACAGATTTAGAGGTCGTCGGTGGTCAATAACCGACCTTCGCCACGCATACCGGCGAAGCTCGCGCGAGAGCAACTTACAAAACATTTAAAAATAACCCACGCGTACAGCTCCCAAATCGGAAACCTTGAAGTCTTTAATTCGCCTCGAACACCAGCTTCTTCGACGTACCGCAGCTGCATATTGTTCACTGATTTTACACCGGGACGATAATAGACTATGCTTTGATGCATTTATAAGAACACTAGATGACCAGAAGTTGTAAATACGTGAAACAGTTCAGAATATAAAGAGCTGATACTTGGATATTTAACGTAAACATTCTTTAAATTGGAACTAAACGCGTTTTATCTTCCATTGAAATTATTAGCATTTCTCTGTGTCGAAAGTTTCACGGTGCGAGTGAACCTGATCGCAGCAACAGACAATTTTGTAGCTGGTCTATTACACGTCAGCCTTCGCACGTATGTATGTGCGTCCGTCGTGTCAATCCGACACATTTGCCACGAGAAATATTAAAGCAAATAGTATATTTAGGTACGTGATTCATCTCTCGTTGATGGCCCGTAACACGAGTTATCTGCGAGTGAAATAAATGTTGCATGCCAGACCCATTCGGTCCGATCGTGTACGGTCCCGTGTCTCCTTCCACTTAAGCGTGTCAGAGAACAAGAACTTCCTACACGTATTTCGCGTTTAAGGATGTACCCCTTGGAAAA